AAAGCTGGCCATACACTATGCAAATGTCATCCAGTTCTTGATGAACCAGCTAAAATTGGCACAGTGGGTGCCGCTTTTGGTACCTTTTCGGCTGCCATCCCTCAATCAGCTGATCAAAGGAGACGGTTGGAGAATCTTTGAACGAACAGAGCCAGCAGCCAATGAGCTGCCAGGTATTCTGACAGTGGCCACCATCAGAATACAGAGAAGACAGCGGGAGATTCCTTGATCAACTCTCCTAAGCGATGGAGAAATCTATCACAGTGTATGGCCACCTTAACTCTCATAATCAGTCACAGTTCTGTGATCATGCACCCCAGTATCCTTCCAGCACCCCTTAAAGCCTAACTCCAGCCAAAAATGTCTTTTTTGATTTTAGATAAAGTTAGGAAGAGTTCCAATTTCCCCCCGGGATTTTATTTATGCCCGTGACCTAATTTAGGAGATTTTGTTTCTCACTTCCTGTGTCTGTGACGCCCATACAAGAAATAGGGAGTGCGAGTGTCATCGGGACAGGAAGGAACAGACAGCAATATAAACATAAAAATTTCTGACCCTTCCCTACTCCACTCTACTACAATGTGTCCCCATTGGGACACATCACTTCCTGTCCTCTGTAACAGGGACACAAATGGCAATTAAGACTAGACGGAGCCCCCTAACCGTTCTACATACGATCGTAAACCAATGAAAACGTTTGGGCTGGAATTACGCTTTAAGTAGCTAACCAAAGATGAGACTCCTAGTGCCGGAGTATGCGGGGGGGTGGCTGCAATTTCCTTTAAAAAGGGGGAGGAGCCAATTACAGAAGCAAGAGGAGAATCCTGGACAATCGTGTCTACCGAGTAACTGTATTGGAAAGAGACATTTTAAACACTAAATGCTGTCTGCAGGTTTAAATTAAAAGCTCATTTTTAATACTAAAAAATGGTCAGGCATTAAAATGATTTTCTTTCCAGTTTTCTTTTTTAGGGGACTGGACGTGACAGACATACCTGCTCTGCTGTTCCTGACCTCTTTCTGAAAATGCTGCCTCCCCGATTCTCCAGATTCATTATTTGATGGGTCATTGACCCAGAACAAGTATGCAGATCAGGAGTTCTGACTTGACCAGCTGTATACATTTTTAGAAGGAGGTCAGGGATGACGGCTCGGGTGTCTTTATATGACAAGCTCATTTTAAAACTGAACTCCAGGATTTAAACAAACACACACACGTGCAGTGAGCCCCCTTCCCTTCCCAGGCACTGCCAGGGTTAAATGCTCGTTAAGTCTAGGGGTAGATGAAAATTATACCTTATTCTTTGCTCCCCTGGCGCTCCTCTCTTCAATGCTCCAGGTTGGGGGCGAGCCCTTGCCATCCTCACATGTGTATCGGTATATAGTGGTGTGTATGTGATGATGAGAATGTGACCGCCGGCCGGAGCACCCTAGAGAAGAGGCTTCGGGGGACCAGCCACACAGTGTGGAGAAAGCAATAAGGTGAGTCTTACATCTTATTCTTCTACCCCCTAGTGGACTTAAACCATCATTAGACTAACCTATAGTGACACTAAACTCAGGAATAAATCTTTCAAATGCATTCAAAGTACCTTAACTATTAACAACACTGGATCTTATTTGTGTATCACCCGGCTGCAGATCCTCCAATCATCTCTGAATTGGTGCTGACACTGTCCTTCCTTCTGGAGGGGGGCTACTTTTGTTCCCATGGTCCCTGTGTGTGTTGGAAAGTAGTCACCGCTCCAACCTCCCTCCTGTGATGGACTCCAATCTCAATACAAGTCAGTAAACTAAACATGAGATTGTAGTCCATCACCGGAGTGAGCGTGGAGCTGTGACTACTTTACAACAGACATGGGGACCATGGGGAACAAAAGTAGCCCCCCTCCAGAAGGAAGGACAGTGTCAGCACCAATTCAGAGATGATTGGAGGATCTGCAGCCGAGTGATATATTATTGTTAATAGTTAGGGTACCTGAATGTATTTTTAAGATTTATTTCCTGACTTTAGTGTCACTTTAAGGGTAGATTTTTTTTTCTGGTGCTCTGAGCTGGTCCTTAAATTGTGGCATATTGGTCTTGGATGGATGTAGCCAGAATGGTCAATGGGCCATGTCCACCAACATCCACTTGAGGCTCCTTTACAGTAGCCAGGAGTGTTGTCTTAGGGGACTCGATCTCACCAACTCATTGTGTTAAGAGAAAGACCCGCAGGCCGCTCTTGAGTGAATTGATTTGGGTTCTGCTAAAGGACAATGTGACGCCTGTGAAAACACAGGAAGGGGCTCATCTATAAACCTTCTGCACAGCAGTACTGCCACTAGAAGGCACTGAGGGGCATAGGACAATCCTGTGCTGCTCTCCTCCATCTGGTAACGGTAATGTTGTGCAAATGGCATTCGCCAGCTTTATGCTGGGTGAAAGGTTGATACATTATCCCCTTGGTGTCACTGCAGGCATTTTAATTTGCATATATGAAGAACAATCCTTGAGTTTCCCAAGATAGAGTGGACCGTGCATTACCTTCCTGACATGAAACAATGTTCAGCAAAAGTGTCATTTTTGAAAAACTTTCAACCTTTCATCATTAAAAAGCTGCCCTGGCTGTGATGACATCATCAGTCTGCTGCAGGCAGGAGGAAGCATGTCCTCAGTCTCCTCTTCCCCAGTGATTACACTGCAACATTGTAGTTAGAAAGTCAGAAGGTAAGAGGTTGTAGAGGGACTAAAGTACTTAAAGGGACAGAGTTACTTTGCCCATTCGGGTCAAAGTGACATGGCCTATGTAAAGCCCCCTTGGAATCTCTGATGCTTACCTTGCGAGAGCTACCCCGCTACTCTTACCCCCATCGCAGCCGGGAACAATAACCAGTGCTGCCAGGTATGGGGGAGCATGTGACCTTCTATATACCAGCCAGTTGCTAGCCCCGAGTACTGTCACATGGTCAGGAGAGTGAAATCCCTGCTTCCCTTGGTGTCTGATACCAGCTGACACTAGTGCTGGCTGCAGCACAGGCAGGAGTGACGGAGCACTGGCAAGGCGAGTATCAAGTGTTAGGGTCTTTACACAGACCATGTCAATTTTCCCCAATTTGGCAAGGCGACAATGTATTTTTAAAGTACAAATAAACCGGAACAATGTACTTTATCTGCTTCTTTTGGGTCTGTTAAAGTTGAAAATCATTCATTAAAAAAATAAGAGTTGACCCTGCCCCCTAAAAATCCAAGATTTGGATATAACGTTAGCGGCCGATATCTTTGGACTTGCAGATCACTCTGGGATTTGTTTTCACAGAAGGAGACCTCACTGTGTGGTTGCTGGCAAGTTGACTCACGTTGCTGGTTTTTTATACATCTTGGCGACTCCAATGCTAAAATATCCACAGTAGAATTTCCAGTTCCGCCAAACTGGTTCCATTACCAAGCCAAATGATGGTGTCACCTTCTCTTGAACTCTTCATAAGGTAGAATAAAGTAATCGAAAGGCCCGGCTGAGAGAGTGACACCTTCATTATGGCTTCACGGGAAGGGGGCAAAGAGACAGACTAGCGCAGGAATATCCTACCTCTGAATCTCGCAATTCGGTGGGTGATTCCACCAACCGGTGCCCGCCATAGAAAGACTGAAGAGTGGGCTTGGGGAGGAATTGACCTTTTAAGGAATTTTTTGATGTCAACGTGCCTTATGATGTGCATGCACCCAGTGCCAACCCTTGTTTGTCGGTCACACTCAACATTTGGGGAATAAGACATTTTATAACTTTCCTATAACATTGAACAG